TATTTTGATCCAAATAAGACAAAAGACTACCATTGTTAGCATATTGCATAACAATCATGTACTCTTTTGTTTCTGGGCCTTGTGTGACTCCATAAATATGAAGGAATAACCATTTGTTACACTTGGCATGATTTCTGAACTATTAAATAAAAATAAACACAGCGTCAAATTAAATATCACTTTAAATAATGCTACCAATTCCTGCTTACCTCGGAAATAAATAATCCCGACGTTTCGTCAAACTCTTAAACTGTTTGAGTACAACAGTTTGTTCCATACGCTCTTCTAATCCGCCTTTATATCTGGCAGTATAAACTGATCCATAACCACCAGATCCGATCTCTTTGAATTCATCAAAGTCGCTATACTGCATATACTCAACATCTGCATATTCGTTAATTTGTATGAACTTGTCCAATATCTGACGTATTTCATGGTAGAAAACTAAATAATATTCCCGAGTAGATGGCTCCTGAGTGATCCCAATTATCCAAATATTATCGGGTGTTAATATCTCCGGGTATTCATTAGTTAGCTGTTTGAGTAAACAAACACAGTCGTTAAACGCGCAATACACACGTTAGTAAATATTATTTGCATCTTACACATGAAATAATTTACCTGATTAAAATCAAATAACTGATCATTTTGTTCGTCAACTATCTTTTTGAGTGTCACGCGTATCATGCGTGTCGCGCGTGTCATGCGTGTCAATTCAATTGTTGTCCATTCTGCTATATGTGTGCATCCATGGCGTAATGATGCCATCTCTTGTATGTTTGTCAATAGGGAGTATTCTATCCATTGTATATATGCATCATATACGTACTTCATGTTCTTCCATGATTCCATAATATATGAATCCAAAGATTTGTTGCCCGTAGTCCAATCAGGAGGTCTTGGTGCTTTACACCAATAACAGAATGCATTTATCTCAGGTTCAAATTGCTTCGTACATGCCAGACATAATAATAATCCACTCTCATCTTCTTCCTTTATTAGACAATACTTTCTTCCCCATTTATCATTATATGTGAATCCGATGGTAAGCCAAACATCTGTGGTAAGAATATCTGGATGCTTATCACATAACTAGTGGAAATGATACATGATAATAAGTCAATAATTATTTAAACTATTCAATAAACATGACGCATAAGTAATTAGTTTACCTCGGCATAATATAAATCATGTGTCTCGTCTGTTATCTCAAGTGGAATCAATTTAACAAGATAATTAGTTGGTAGACCATACAAGTATGCATAAATTCCCCTATCATCAATGCAATCGAATGGAATCCATTCCAAATAAGCGTGATTTGGTGAGTTTGTTTGTAGTTGAGATTTCTTAATAAACTCATCGAGTTGCTTATTGTTGCTAGTCCATCCACTGGATAATTGTTTATGCCCGCAAATGCACCACACGGGACTACATCGGAGTATTCCACATGCAGTGCAGAAGCCATACCGAGAATAACAATAGTAAAAGAGTTTACTAGCAACCATGTAATAGTTGTTATCATACTTGGTGAATCCGTGTATCATCCAGTTGCGACGATTGAGCCATACGGAATATCTTCTAAAGTTGTCGCTATTATTATTGTACTTGTGTGTTGGAAGTGAGTATATTCTAGAAAACTCACTCACAAGTGTTGGTGTGCAAATTTCATTATTTCCAAGTGATAGCAGCATTATCATCGTTTTCTTCACTTTGCCATCATTCCTCGTTTGCTTGCGAATGGCGTAGTAGATGTTGTCAATTTGACTTGGCTTTATGTCGGTAATATCCTCCTTGGAAACCCATTCAAGTTCATTATTATGTTCATTTTCGAGGGAGGACTGAATCAGACTGTCGATTATTGCATGAGCCCCTAAGACTGATGACATCGTTCTGAGGAAGCATTCCCTACTCTCTTGTGCTATATTTTTATATCGTCTGGTGATACAAAGACGTTATCACGTATGGTACGACATATTCAATGTGTAAAGTTTGCACATTATCACCGTAATATGCCTTTGTAACTATTCTTCAAATCGTAGCATTCTTTATTCTCTTTCTCGACAAAAGTCTACTGATAACTGATTATCGCGTATGAAGAAGTTTCTTGTTTGGTCAAAGCGTCGGTGCGTTTGTAAAAGGAATACACAGTAAAGTCCGGTTTATCCGTTCCATCGCCTGACTTCGTTAATGCGGACTATTCGTTAAAGCGGACTCTATTTTTATAATATATGAATGAAACGGTTCCAAAAAAAACTTCGTTATAAGACCTTCGTTAAACTGTGTATTATACAGGCGCTTCTTTGAAAAAGATTTTCCCATCTAAATTGCGTTTATATTAATATCCTTTTATTTATAATTACGCATACCCAAAATGATTCGACGCTTGTAACACTCCTAACTGCAAGCTCAAACTCAGGGAAGTTAATTGATTTGTGGCTTATTATAGAGAGGAACGATCCTTTTCTATTTAGACATCGTCAAAGTCGGGCCAGATTCCGTATTTCAAAATAACCACTTTTGATTGTTTTCGTTGCGAATACACGAAGAAATAGAATGTTTGTTTTTTTAAAAAACTTGCCTTGCTTGGTTACTATTTCTGTTCGCGATAACTCTAGTTTTAGGGCAAAAACGCCCATAAATAGGAGTTTAGCTATTACTCCTAGACCAGACTCGCTAAATCTGTTTTGAAGATATGTTTCCACGTTCAGAATCTGATACCCAAAATTATCCCGGGCGTTTTTCAACTCTTTGCTAAAATACCAACACTTTTATCCCTTCTGGAGTTTTAGTTGAACATCATATAATTGAGAGATGACCTTTAACTAAAAAAACCAAGGCACTGAAAAAACACACCTTTCTTCAATCGAAACGTGAAGATCTATCTATACGCAGTCTCTAGAACGTTCTGTAGATAGATGTTATGTGCATTTCTACCATGCAACTTTCACACGTTGACTTCGCACGCGGAGAATATTTTGGTGATTTTCATCCAATTGGTACAACTCGAAAACACATGACACTAGTTGCCTCACCACACGACTGTTTTTTGGTTTGTCAACGATGACTTCAACACCTGTACCATTAGAGGACCAGGCGAAGCTCCTGGAAGAGGCCCTAAATGTCGTGAAAGTTCAGGTGAACAATTACAATCTTGCCGTACTATTGCCAACACCAGTCTTGCACATTTCTTAGATCTGGCGTCCTTTGTGTAGGCATTCCAAATGAAAAGATGTCTTGATAACCATAAGCTTATGGACGGTTTGAAACACTGTTCCACCATGTTGGCCGAATTAAGGACTTCGGCCTTGACACCAAAGCACTATTATGAATTATATATGGCTATCTTTGATGCGCTTCGCCACTTGACTACTTACCTTAACGATGCTCATAGCTCGGGTAAACACCACTTGGCAGACCTCTACGAGCTCGTTCAGTATGCTGGTAATATAATTCCCCGCCTATATCTAATGATTACTGTTGGCGGCTGTTATATGGCACAAAAAGATGCGCCTGTCAAGGAAATCATGAAAGACATGATGGAAATGTCTCGTGGTGTACAACACCCTACTCGCGGATTGTTCCTAAGGCACTATCTAAGCGGGATGACAAGAGACTCTCTTCCAGTTGGAACAGGCCAAGGGTACTTTTCTGATTAGCACACGTTAATACTTTGTAATGCTTGCTTTATCAGCAGATCATTTCTAAAATTATGTAACTTTTACAATTCAAGTACCCAGGGAAATCTCCAAGATTCGATATCATTCATTTTGACTAACTTTGTCGAGATGAATAAGCTCTGGGTGCGATTACAACATCAAGGTCATTCTCGTGATCGCGAAAAACGTGAAATGGAGCGTAAAGAGTTGAAGATACTCGTCGGAACTAATTTAGTTAGACTGAGTCAGTTGGAAGGAGTCGATTTGCAGATGTATCAAACGGTACTGTGTCAATGACAAGTTTTGAATTAGGGAGTAGAGAATAGTTTTATAAGAGAGGCAATTGAGTGTTGATGGCAGTTGTCTTGATTTTCTAAAGTGAAGCGCGTCGTCAACTTTCGATGACATATGCTTTTATTTTGTATAGACTATACTTCCGGCGATTTTGGAACAAGTAATCAATTGTAAGGATGTAATCGCCCAGGAGTATTTGATGGAAGTCATCGTTCAAGTGAGTAGGGAAACGGAAGAGTGATTAAGTTGTCTTAACGGCATTAGAGCATTATCTAAGGCCCACTAAACGACTCCAGGTATTTCACGACGATTTCCATCTACGAACACTTGGACTATATCTCTCTGCTACAGCACAACTCCATCCAAAAGTTAACATCAAGCAGATAGTAATATCGCTCATTGATAGACTTGCAGCTTACGCCGCAAGGGAAGCAGACTCTGAGCCACCTGAAGAAACCGAAAAGCCTGGGGTTCTCGGAGAAGATATAGAGAAAGACGACAAAAAACTTGGCGAGAATGAAGAAACGGATACCATTATTGGCGAAAATGCGTCCGATGTTAGTAGTAATGTACAAAACGAGGATGCTGACCACGAAAAAGAAGAGTCTGAGACGCAACCTGAGGAAACGGTCGTTCGTAAGTTTAGAGGAATTCCCGAGGATGTGAAGCTGTTTGAGGTCTTTTGGGGACAGATCGTGGATTTGGTCAAGGTTCGTTTGTTCTCAAAGTGGTAGTATTTTTGGTGGGATTTGGTTCATCACTAACTGAGAGTATATTGCAGGCAAGACCAGATTTGTCGATTCAGGACATTACCGCCTTGTTGGTGTCCCTCGTAAATTTGTCGTTGAGTTGTTATCCAGACAAGATCGACTATGTAGATCAAGTACTCGAATTTGCTAAAAGAAAAGTTACCGAATTCAGCGAGAGGTACTTTAAGCATTTCCAATATGCCAAAGGATTGACAGTTTTTACCCTGTGTTTCCTAATTGTTTCTAAAACAATAACCTTTCTTTTCCTAGCCAAAGTCCAGACCTCCATAGCCAAACCACGACAGACAATCTCCTCAATCTTCTTTTGGCTCCTATAAACGCGTACCCTACGATTCTTACGGTACTTGCATTGCCAAACTACACTGAACTCCTTATGCTCCAACCCTTTACCACACGTCGTTCCGTCGCATATGCGGTCGTGGCTTCATTATTAAAAAATGAAACTTACATAGATACGCCCGAGGACGTTAATGGCGTGTTGGGTCTATGTAGTGTGCTAATTCGTGATCAAAAAGATGCTACGCTTGCGAGCCCATTCAGTGGACTGTCAGGAATTCGAGGAAGGTCATCGGGAATGACGCCGATGATGGATCCTGAGGAGTTTGCCGAAGAACAAGGATGGTTGGCTAGGATTATCCACTTGTTTAAGAGCGATGATCCTGATAATCAGTTTATGGTATTCAGTCTTGATTAGTATTTATGACTCAAGTTTGAATTTGAATATGCTTAACGTTATTAATCTTTTTTTTTTCTGTATTAATGTTTAGCTTCTTTCGACGGCTCGGAAGCAGTTTGGTGAAGGCGGTGAGAGGATACGATATACTTTCCCGCCACTTGTCGTGTCCTCTGTAAAACTAGCCAGGCGTTATAAATTGTTGGAAGAGCAGGTAATACAGCGATGATTTTCTATTGGTTTGACGTAGCAAGATCTGAACTACATTCACCTTGTTTTATGATAGGATGAGAATTGGGAAAAGAAGTTGTCGACACTCTTCCGATTTGTCCATCAGCTTATTTCCATCTTATACAATAAAGTGGAATGCGCGGATATTTGTCTTAGGTTGTTCCTTCTTGCTGGTCAGAGCGCAGATGAGTGTGGATTTGAAGAAATTTGCTACGAATTCTTTGTTCAGGTATGCACGAAGCTGTGTTACGCAAATACAGTCCCTCGTATGATGATTGAATTATGACGATAGAATAGTTGTTATCAATAATTTCCACGCGGTGATTACTTATCTTTATTTCCGCTTCATCATTAAGGCATTTACGATATATGAAGAATCCATTTCAGAATCACGAGCACAATTCCAAGCTATTACCTTACTTATTGGGACATTACAGACTACTCGTGTCTTTGGCCTTGAAAATTACGATACTCTAATTACAAAATGTGCCTTACACGGTAGTAAGTTGTTGAAAAAACCTGATCAATGTCGGGCGGTCTATCTATCTAGTCATCTCTGGTGGGCTACCGAGGTTGAGGGACGAAAGCTTAAACCAGATGTAAGACGTATTTCTTGTCAACATTGAGTTCGTTGTGTAATTGCTGTATTAACATATGTTATTAATTCATATTTTGGACGTATTTACAGGAGGGACTGTACCGTGATGGCAAACGAGTTCTTGAGTGCCTGCAGAAAGCTCTCAAAATTGCCGATTCTTGTATGGATTCTGTTACAAACGTTGAATTGTTCGTAGAAATCCTTAATCGTTACATTTATTACTTTGAGCGACAGAACGAAGCTGTATGTATCTCTTGCTTTATAATGGAATTTTTTATTTTCATCGATCTATTACTACGCTTCTACTAATGAACTTCTTTTATGTTTTTCTAACTAGATAACAGTGAAATATCTAAATGGGCTAATCGATCTAATTAATACCAACATCAGCAATATGGATAGTCCTGATCAACATCTCCCAACAGCAGCATCATCTGCTATCGTTGAACCGGAGGGAAGTATTGCAGAATTTGTAATTAAGCATTTCAAGGCAACACTATTGCATCTTAACCAACGCAAAGAAGCTGTGTTGGCTGCGAAAGCACAGGGCGAGACGGGGCAACCAATGTATGAGGAGATTGAGGCCTAAAATGCACAAGTGGATGCAAGCGTTCAAAACGTGGACGCACGCAATGTTTAATACGAATGATTTTAAGGTTATGTGACTTGTATATTAGTAATGGCGAATAAATTATTTTGAGGGAATTCGTGTTTGTCACATGATCTACAAACGGCAAGGAACACTACATAATAAATTGGGACTTTTGGAAATTTCAGTAGAGGTGTTATTGAACATGTGGGCAAGTGAGGGGGACTACAACAAATCAAGTCTGTTCATGATTGAACATGCGTTGTTCGCAAGCGTCATAATTTGAGAAACGATAACATGAACAGTTCGATTGACATATTATTGTCTGAATTGGTAATCCATAAAATGTCGGCACTGTAGAGAATTCTTTTGACAAAAATATTCATCGATAAATAGACTATCCAATATTTTTAGGGTAAGCATAATGGTTCAATTACAACAGCTAAAGTTCTCTTATTCTGCTATCCTTTCTACTTTAGAAGCAACGACAAACTTTTTGTTTAGAGAACCTCCTTCAAGACAAAGCGTTGCTTTTTCATAAAGTCTAATACAATTTTTCGGACTACATAAATTAGGCAAACATACTTTTAGGTAAGGTAGGAAATTAGGCTATTGGGTGCCATTCATATAATACATTGGAGACTAGCTCGTTATCGAACGCAAGAACCTTTATTAGCGCACACATTTAGTTTTTGTTGATAGAACCATGTTTAAGGTCAAACTTGTCACAAGCTGTGGGGAGGACGTCAATGATGAACACGCCAAAGGATGAAGAGCATCACATCAGATGCCAATTAAATGAATGCTAACGGCTCAACTTTTCAAACAAATATTATTACTGAATTTTGCAAATTTTGCATGATGCGTTTCTAAATGGTCGATAAGCTCCCGTACTTTTGAAAACGAATTATTGGATGAGATAAAGGCGAGAGAATTCATGATTTTGATGGTGATGATTCTGCTAAATTTATTATTATTATCACTCCGTACGGAGTGAGCTGTAAATGTAGCGAGACCATTGCCCATCATTCTATGATTGGACAGAACTATTGATTGCACTATTTAAAGTTCAAGTTTTGAGAATTCATTGTACTTGACAACAACGCTCTAGGATGACAATGAATAAAGCCCCTCAAATGTATCCATTTGTATGTTCTGTATTTAAGAAATTCATGGAGGGTGGTGGATTCGATACTTTGGTGTTAAGTGAGGTAAACTGGGGGTCGTCTTTTTCGGATAATTGTATTCAGGAAGACTATAAGCTCTAACAAACACTGAAATAGATGAAAATCACACAAGCGACCAATGGGAAAGTAATTAGTGAACTTGCTATTGAAAAGAAACATTTAGTAAGTTAGAATGTGTCTCTTTCTGTATTAGACAGTAGATTTAACTTACTGTTGTTTGCTTGGCTTGTTGACAATCAAGAATCGCCTCGACGGATTGCATGGCGGAGTAACTTCAACCATAGTAGACTTGGGTGGATCTTTAGCTATCGCCTCGAAAGGGCTCTATGCGACAGGTGTAAGCACCGATTTGAATGTTACCTTTGTCAACTCTGCTAAGCTGGGAGATATAATAGTAATGGTATGGTTCAACCGATCTCGTATAGATTGCTAAAAGAGAAAAAGTACGCTCAAGTTATGATCTATTACAGGAGGCTAGTTGCGTAAAAATAGGAAAGACACTCGCTTTCACCGAGATCAATATACGCAACAAAGAGAGTGGAAACCTGATCGCACAAGGGAGACATACGAAATTTATTGCTCTTGCTCATAAAGATCCAAAGAATATTATCGGACAAATGGAGGATGGAAATAACTCCAAAGTTTAGTGCACATACTTTACCTGAATCACTGCGAAAAACAGGCTAGCTACACCCTGTGGACATAAAAATTGATTTACTGAAACAATAGCGAAATTTGCGATAAAGTTAAGCACGTTCGTACTGATGCATTTATTCTTTCGTCGTCAAGACATGCATGGTTTTCTTTTAGTGTTTTTGCCCAATGCCCAGATTGTTATATAATTAGCGTTTGTGAAAAATTCCGTACAGAATTTCTCGTCGTATGTTCATAGGAAACATTTGTATGAAATAATGATGTAACATCCAAGTCTTCAGCGCCCATAATAGCCTTCGCGTATTGAGTAGTCGGCAGGAAATTTTCCGAACAAATATTATGCCTATAATGAACAAAAACTAGACTCTGTAATTTTGTGTAATGCATAATAAATACACTCTATAAGTTATCCAGATAGTATTTATAAAACACACTATACTAGAGCTAGTTAATATAAGGGGGGGAAATTTGTATTTCAGGTTAAGCAAGTTTAATTTATTTAATATTTAGTATAATACTGTATATAAAATATCTATTACAAGACCAGACAAAGTGAAAGTAAAGCCACAATCATATTATATTGTTGGCAATAAAATTTGTTCATCGACAATTGTCGAGCCAACAATTGCGGGAGACCAAACCGATCGTCGGCAGTTAGTGACCTTTAAACCAGTTTTTACTCACAACCTTAGTATTAGTGTCGATTGGTAGACACTAATCCGAGATAATCATCCGCCTTCGAATAAATCAGCCATTCTCTTCAGATGAGATTATTTCGGAAGCCTATATAGGTTGGGGTTTATATCAAACGCGTTTCCACTTTAAGCGAATAAATATCGTAATGCTACTGGAATGCTCACGGGACAAGAAGTGAATACTCCTATCGATATGTGGATTAGCGATTATATCGAATAAATTACCAGGGAATAATGTATAAAGCATGCGTTCTGAGTATAAAAAACTACATGTCTATTAATCTTGAACACACCGAATCTAACGAAAAGTCGCGTTTTTTATATCTAATGCGGATGTTTAAAACAGCAAACTATAGTGAACGATTGCGTATAGCAAATATACAGGTGAAACTTATTTAAACCAGCTGGGCTGGTTTGCTGGTTTTCGGCCGGTTTAGCCAGAGACCGAAACCAGTATTCATATATGTTGTACCTCAGTTGGGGACCTGTCTCAGTTCTGGACTGAGTGTCTGGGTTCGGAACTGAGACAACTGAGTTCTGAACTGAGACAGGTCAACATATATAGGCATCATATTTCTCCATCACATTCCTCCATGACTCCATAATGAATGAATCCGAAGCCGTAGAATGGTACTATTATTATAACAACAACATGAACAACATGAACAACATGAACAACATAAGAATTCGACGATGGGATAAGGGTTGCTTATTACCTTTAGCGACACTCAAAAATCGAAACGGAGCTAAAAATAATTAAATAATCTAATTTCTATAAAGAGCTACTCATATTCTACGTACTCAAAAATCGAAACATTTTCTGCGCCGTACTACCCGTATTTTTGCTTGAACTGCGGAGGAAGATTTTACCATGTGACTTACTTATCAGATCGGCCTGCCGTCTTAAATTTGATATTTCAGCTTTAAGCTCATAAATCTCAATATCACGCTTAATATTTCAGCATCAGTATTTCTCCTATCCTTTTCTAACTCCTTGATTTTGTTTTCGAGCTCGGATGTTATAATTAATAATATTTTGTACAAGATGGAAATTATTCAATGTTATGTGACAACTGTAAAGACCCACTTTATTAATCACAGATAAAAAAAAATACAATTTACGAGACTGTTTTCATGCGTTATCGAATTTTTTTTTAATAGAAAAAATCAATACACTAATTTTTTCATACATAATAATAATAGCAATTATTTTATCTGTAATTCGAATTACGCGTAGAACACTCCAAACACCTCCCCTTATCCCGCACGAAGAAGCAAAGTACCCATGGCATGCGTCTCATACCAAAAGAAAAAAAAGTGTTTCTGCTCAAGAGGCACTATTACGAATCAGTCCGTCAAATTGCGCAACCACGCACGGGAACAATGTGACCAGAAGATGAATAATATTCATTCGTATAAATGTCCGTTTTTTATGTCGATCGAGCTTTCTCCATACCATTACGCTTTTATGTTAAGTCGATTATAAGAGATTAAAGAGATAGGAATATTATAATGCAGTAAACGATTTCACAAAATGTTGCGAACAACATTGTGTGTGTAATACTCGGATCAAAATCAAGAAAATAATTTAAAAAGTCGGAGAAAGATTGGTTTTATTATTTCACATGGGAACTTTGAGTTATGTCGAACGGACGGATTGGAGGAGTGAGGTCTAAGGAAGAGGATGTATGGATATACAGTCAGACCTCTCTAAATGCAACTTCTCTAAATGCACACACTATATAAACTCTCCGTAAATGCACGGTATGGTTCAGTCACAGCTTATAAGAACATTATATATTTTGCTCTCTGTAAATGCACACTCTCTCTAAATGCACACTTTTGGATTTTTTTTCACTATGGTCCCGACAACGTGCATTTAGAGAGGTCTGACTGTATAGAAAAGAGATTTTGTCCGAATAAACTAGCCAGCAGTATGGTTCTGCACAAACAGTTTGGTTAGTGTATTGAAACTGAGACGATGATTAGACCTAAAAAAAGTATGTATTGATGAATAGGAAGGACATTGGTCGAAAATAGACAAATTGTCAATGTTTACCAGCTTTGCTTGCAGCAGGCATGGAGGAGATGGTTAAAACTTGACAAAGCCAGGTGTAGATAATGATCAGGAATTATTTCGCGAAAAGTGAGATGCGGGTCTGCACAATTATATATGGGTGTTTCGATGTTTCTGTGTTTTGTCATCTAAGAGTTTATGTAGAGGAACAAAATTCCGAGAATTTTTCTAGTCAAAGTCAATTTAGTCGAATCAGTGAGAGTTTGATGGTTAGAGCTAATGATAAATAATGCATGTAATTGATAAAATTGTTGGTACAAATTTTATTCCTTTGTTACTTGATGACGGGAATAATCTGAAATAAAGTCTTGATAGACGCGGGTGTTAGTCGTACAAATATAAGTGATTAGATTATTACGGTGAAGAAATACCAACAATGTTCAATATGGGATAGTAAAGAAGAATCAATAATCCCTCCGCCGATTCATAACCGGCCCAGGCGGAAAAATTGAAAGGCCACATTATCTTCTTTGTCGCAATCTTCATAATCTTCTTATCGCCGACCAGAGCTCATTATATCTTAGACACGAGCTCCTCCCCGGTCCCTCTTGTCGGCTTTTCCAATTGACACGTAATCATCGTCCCACACTTGGTGCACTATTATACTCGCCGAGCCGGTAGACACCAACAAATTGGGGAATCCTTATCTTCAGGTGCTTTCTATTGTCTCAATCTTAATACACAAAGTTCTCATTACCATAATTCTTACACTTCTAATGGCTGGCTGATGCAGTCCTATGTCAGACCAACGAAATCAACCATTCTTAAAGTTCCTTTTGCTCATAACTTCATTCTAACGTTTCGTAATGCATAGTGCATTGTCTTATTATTCACAGCCTTGTCTGGAACTTGTTCTTTCCCTTCCAATCTATCTCTCTAATCCTAACTTATCAACCGAGCTAGCGCCAGTAATTACATATTAATATGTTCGACAGAAATCCACAACTCCCTAATCAACGCATAATGCCTTATATCTTCCCTCCCTTTCCAACCCACCATTCGTAGTAAACGCTATCCTAATCCTACAACAGCTCTCGTCGATCATGCTTCTTACGTCCCTAGAGGCTGCCGCAGCACCAGCACCATACCGCCAAGCTAGTTACGTATTACAAACGAGCGATTGATGATATACCACTCGATCCGCGACGACATTGAACAAATTATTGAAACCAAGAACAATGAATGCATTACGGATGTTATTATGTTTGCGACTAGCTAGTATTTGCTCAGATGTCATCCGCACGGTTGATATGAACGGAGCATTTCTTGGCATTTATATGGCAAGTTTTATTTCCGCCGCTGTTGGATGCCGTTAAACTTGCATCGCTACAGACCGTCAAGGCTATTCTTGTTTGCATTCTAGTCATGAGGTAGTTATCGCGCTATCAAGACAATCAGGGCGAAGAAAATATTGCCTTATTGCAGACTGCGCGGGTCATTTGGAAAAGAATTGGTTTGCATATAGCATGTCGGGAGCACGCATTATCGGATAGTGTTGAAATTAATAATGAAGCTTCACCTCCAATGAACCGAGCTCGAATGGTAACTACGCATTTATTCAGGAACGATTAGCATCAAACTCATTACCGGTTCGACATTACTTGATTCACCTGAATCTGCTTTCGTCTAAATAAAGTCGATGCGTTTCATAGTAAAATAACGGTTGTACGACTTATATTCAAATCACCCATCTGTCCAAATAGATCGAGCGTCTTGATGCATTGATTTAAGCATTCGGATGACAACACGAAGCAAAAAATCGGTTACATGTTAGCTGAAGGCAAGGAGAACGAGTCCCGTCATCTTAGTGTTTGATGCACCGAGCACGCCTGATGCAATTTATTCAGATCTCCAAACTCATCTTCTGTACTTCTACGTAGTAGCCTTTAGCACTACTTGAAGCTGCATTCGTATGCGCTCGTCTTTTTCCAACTCCAACTTCGCTAAATCGCTAAAGTTATAATGTCATCCGTTGATTCACAAGCTTGGATGGGTGATTGGCTGTTACATCAGAGATATTACTAAATCCCAGATTAGAAAAAGTTCGCGCGCGCAACCAAACGAGGCCTATTAAGTAGACGAACATAATTTACGATAGCAAACTAGTTCTCGTCCGATTTCTGAAGATCGATCCAGGATATTAGATTTACTGCTAGATAGATTGTATAAACAAACCGAAACAATATCATGATCACTCACAATCCCTCCATAAATCAATTAG